ACTTGGATCCCGACCAAGACCGGAGAAGTTGAGGGTCTGGGAGATCTAACGCTGTGCAAGCGGCAGGCTGGGCCAACGGTACCACAGCAGGAATGTGTATTGGTACTTTAAAACACTTAATCTCTTTTCCAACTGTACTCGTAAAATAGAGGTTGGTATTTTAAAATCAATGACAATTCGAAGACTTAGAGGAACGCACCTTGTCCGGAGTCCATTGTATGCATGATCATTTCCAGAGTAGGACCGTGGACGTGGTACATTGCCAGACGTTTCGCCGGCATCTTCAGTCTGTTTTACCATTTGTAGCACCATATTACAACTCGTCTCTTCGACGACTACCACGGGAATGAGCCATTCTGTACCAGTGAGATCAATCTTCGAATCTCTTCTTAATGCACTTTCATACCCAACATTGTCATTTTAGGACACTCATTGGTACCAAGTTACTCTTCGTAACTGATAGTTGAGTCTACTACATTGAAATGAGTAGGCTTCGTGGTACCATTGAGACTCCCTTATGCTTGCCACTTCATGTGGAAACTTCAGGTTTAGCCTCGGCTCGTCTCTTTGACGAGTTGTAATATGGTGCTACGAATGGAGAGACTCACTGACGATGCCGGCCATACGTCTGGCAATGTACCACTTCCACTGTCCTACTCTGGAAATGATGATGCATACAATGGACTCCGGACTAGTTGCGTTTCTCTAAGTTTTCATACCAATATGACCAAGTTGCGAAAACAAGGTCAAGCAACTTCTCAATTATAATGCTCATCCTATTGTCACTGGGGAAAACTTGTATTTTCCATTACAATTGATGACACTACTATCAACCGAACGAATGGATCACGAAACCTGTAAGGCTAAAAATGCCGTTTCCCCAAAGACGGGCTCCTACAAGAATAGCGTTATCACTTGCGATCTTTGCCGACGCCATCCAAAGGCCTGACAGACATTGACGGACAATTTTGTCCATCCAATACGTCTTCCACGCCGTCTGCGGCGGTTGAAGCTCATTCTTGCTGAGCGGAGCTTTCTGAAGGTGGCGGTCAAATCCAACTCCTGTTGACAACTCCAGGCCGGGGGCTCGGAAATGTTGGGCCTCGATTGGTCGGCCGACTGTCCCGGGATGGGGGCCTTCCATTGGTCAGTCGGCGGTCCAAGCAGAGGCACTCAAGTCGTCCGATCTGACTTGGCCATGCGACCTCGGTGTGACGTTCACCTCCACACCACCCTTTTGCAGGCCGGCACAACTGAAGCCTCGACCTCACCACCACGACGAAAGGGTTGTTATGGCAATTACGATCTGTAGTCGTGGCGACGCTTATGATGAAGCCCAGGGTCACAGCGGTCTCCAATCGCCTCGACCTATATTGTACCTCTCTTTTGTCTCACCCCTTGTCGCGGTGACGACGAACCGGTTGGTGAGTTGCACATGTCACGCCCGGACTGAGTGTACCAAACCGGCTGATCTAATTGTGCCAATCACACTCGGCGACGAGACGCAAGCGCGTCCCACAACACTAACGGCGTGACAATTGAATTTGCTCATGATGTCTGTGTCTCCGTCATTCCTACTTTTGTGTCCAGACTACATGAGTCGTCGTGTTGCAGTCGTCTGGACGGTACATTTCCGGTTTTAGACTGCCTGTCTGCATCATTTGCTCAGAGTCATGTTCAGAATGACCCTATTTCGTGTAAGGTGATGAAAGACTGATATTTGATTTTCCCACAATGCTATGAATAGAGCTGATTGTTTCCATTGAATTTTCACATAGCCTTGCTTTCCCTAAAGTTGTTCTCATCCCGGCTGGAGTGGACTGCTGTTTCGACCTCGCATCGGTCTTAACAACACATTCAGCGGGACTCGAACCGCGACAGTGCAGGATGGGAGCTTGACACGCTAACCACTCGGCGGTTTGACTCCCGCTGAGGGTGTTGATAAGACCGATACATACATACATACATACATACATACATACATACATACATACATACATACATACATACATACATACA